GCCGTTATTCGGCCATCTTTGATCTGATTATGAAACACACTGATATGTATGATGTATGTGCCAAATTCAAATGAAAATGGTACATAAAATACAACATTTTCAAAAAAGAAGATGGCTGCCAGTCGGCCATTTTGAATCGAATCGCTAAACCACTGCATGTGCATATGTCCCACATAAGGTACTAGGCACATGCAAAGAATGAACAGAATCAGTCCACAGGATTCTGAAATATGACTCTGGACAGACTGACGCACAGACAGACGAACACACAGACGGACGGATGGACGGACAGACTCAGAACTCACGAACTATCGGGACATGTATCCTAACATGTATAATCTATATACTAAATTTGAATGAAAACTGACAAAGCATGTCCAAAATACGACATTTTCAAAAAACAAGATGGCTGCCAGTCTGCCATCTTTGATCCAATTGTGAAATAAATCGTCATGGACATGTATCCTAACATGTATAATCTATGTACCAAGTTTGAATGAAAACTGACAAAGCATGTCCAAAATACAACATTTTCAAAAAACAAGATGGCTGCCGGTCGGCCATTTTGAATCGAATCGCTAAACCACTGCATGTGCATATGTCCCACATAAAGTACTAGGCACATGCAAAGAATGAACAGAATCGGCCCAAGGGAATCTGAGATATGACTCTGGACGGACACACCAATGCACAGACACACGGAGACCGAATTATAAGTCCTCGTTTTCGGACTTCATCCGAACGGGGACCAATTAACACCACAAGGATTATTATAACCCTAAGCTCCAAAAATTACAATTCCACTTTAAGTCAATCAGGTTTATCTGCTCAAATATCAAGTATTTTAACTGCAAAAAGCATAGGTGATCGAATGTATTCTTAAACATTTCAAAAAAGTTGATAAAATTCAGTTCAATTCACTAACATTAAAAATGTGAAAATTTCATTTGCGTTCTTAAAAAAATAGAAAAATGAAAAAAACTTTCCTATTAAAAAAATAACTATTAAAAGCAGATCATCAAAAGTGAAAAAGTGGTCACATAAGACATGTGGTCTTCATACATAGGTTGCTCATGTATGTTATGCCATGGGACTACTTAAACGTGTTCACTGTAGGCAGGTGGTTGTTGTATACAGCTTGGCCCTGACACTGGTTTCACAGTATTGGCATTCTCTCTATATATTTATACCCATGATGACCTTTATTTTTAATCAGTAAATAATTTACAATTCACAGATCTATAATAATGCACTACGGTAGTAACAATTACAGCTAAATATAGTCTCAGAACGAGTAAATAAACATCATGGGAAAACCACAAACTGTGCACATGTTGAAGAAAAATTAGCTGTCGGCGATACACACAAAGGATGCTGGGAACACAAACACAAATTTTCCCAAACTTTGAGGAAAAAGAAACAATTATGCACACATTATCAATATACACTTGAAAGATTTTGCAATTATTTATAGTACATGACTGAATCTGAACACTGGATCTAGTAATAACATGTAAATGCAAAATTTCCCTAATTGACAATAGCTGTGATTTTGAATATTTTTTTGTTTAAATACATGTATAACCACATAGAGATGACCAATGACCAATTGTCTTTGTTTTAAACACAATTGAATAGACACAAGGCTATACCATAAAAGGCGATGTGAAAACGGTTGATAAAACCAGTCATGTGATACACACAAAGGATGCTGGGAACACAAACACAAATTAAGCATAGATTTCCCAAGAAAATTTTCACGTGACGGGGAACATAGAAAATTATGATGCACGACATACACTATTATGGACAGAGACACAATCATCAGTGAGAGACTATCAGAGAGAGGTAAATAACATGATTTCACCAAGGGCACCCACTAAAACTTGATTTCAATAGTTGGTGTGGTCACTTTTTTTTTCATTTGCAAGTGCTTCAATGTACAATATATATAATCGTATATGCTATGCTTTCAGTGTCCACATTTTGGCGATGGTCAATACAAATTAATACTAATGACACAGGAACAATGTTAATAATACGAGGTTATTACGAGGATACCTCAAAGTATGCACGAAGACAGTACAGCGGGAGTATCAACCAACGCACAGCGGAGGTCGATGTGACGGGGTACTATCTGAGTGCATACTTTGAGGTATTCTCGTAATAACCTCATTATTATACATCTTTTCCTTCATGTGAGCGCACGATAATTCAAATGCAAATGTACTACAGCATTATTGTGTATTCTAACTTACCTATATTGAGCTTTGTCTGAGGCTGTTAATCTGTCAATCCTTTGAAAAAAAAAAAATATACATTAAGTGTTATCAATATCAAGATTGCTAAAATAAGAGTAAATATCTTTGATATCCATGTATTGTGGATGATGTGCAACTAAGATTCCATTGCATGCGAGCTCCATGTTTGCGTCAATCAAACCAATTGCATCATATTATGGGAAATAGAAATGAGCAAGCACTTAATTCATGTGATGTAAGAACGATGGGGGAAAACATCCTGAGACAAACGCTAACACATCAGAGA